TCATTTCTTCAAACTTTTTCGAACGACCGTGTTGGTGGGGATTCATGTAGTAAGTTTATTCTGCAGTAAGGTTCCTTAAAGCTCGCTCTTTTATAGAATACTTGTACAGTGTCTCGTAAAGTATTATAAAAATATTTACTATCTATGCTTTTTCAGTCTCCGTTGTAACGTTCATTGTACTATGGTATGCCAGGTTATGATGTCTTGAAATGAGTGCGCAAAATGTATGTCTCCAAAATCTAAAACATTCTTCAATAATCTACATACCGAAACGCTGCCCGTTAAAACATGGCTAAAAAGAAAGGGTATTTTCGTTTGCTGTGTTGACTGCCGTCTATGTGACGTGCCAGAGACAATAGAACACTGCTTTATTAGTTGCAAAGATGCTATCTTGTTCTGAGATGTCCTTCAGCAGACTCTGAGAAAGAAGTTTTGATATTAATTCTTACATTATCCGTTATCTTTTGCCGACATCACTTGATGAAGTGGCTTTTCATATGTTTTTCTCATGGGTATGCAGAGTCTATGGAAGACACTTATGCAAGATTGCAACGCAGAACACACCATTTCTACGAGCTCACATTTCATTAGATTTGGTGAGTTGCTAACATTGCATTGGAATGGCTGTTTACCTAAAAGACATTTATGACGAAATGGACTTCAAACCGCACTGGTACCTCGTCTTGATGAGGTTCTTGGCCATGTCACCTGTTGTGTATAACGCAATTCGATGAACTCCCGCGCCTCTACTGAGCTTCATGAATTGCCGAGTGTTTCTTTAGTAACATTAAGCGCTTATTGTTGCTTGGTGAAAGTACCTATACGTTCCATACTAATAGTGTCATTTTATGTTCATTTTAACACACAATGTAATAAACACCCTCAAAAAACTGGCCCCGTATATACACGTTACACTACAAATGTTGTCAAAGACGATAGTTTTGCGTCTGTAGAGAGTAAGCGAAACGTTTATTTGATGTTTTGCGCAAGAAAATCGGTGAATGGTAATCTGGAGGCGCTGCGTTGGAGTACCTAGAGCGTGCAGCGGAGGTGAACGATCGTATAAAGTCACGCGACACGTGAGACATGGGCGCTCTCTGGCAGTTATCTTAGAAAACGAAGCGCGCCCGCCCTGCGCACACCTATCGGAGGTGATAAGGTGTAGAAAGCAATGCGACGGGTGTAGGTGCTACCACCGGGTCGTTTTAGCAAAGCGTCGTAAACACTTGCCTTTCGATCACGAGCGCATGGTCAGCGCAACGTGATAAACGCTACGGTCCTTATTATTACTTATGTATGCCTTTTCTACTAAACGACGCACATACAGAATATATACATGTTATGGTGCCACAAATATGAGCAATTATTGCTTTTTATTTGACAATCGCAAGAGTATGAGCATTGAATCTTGGGCAAAAACTGTGGGCGCTGCAGATGGAGCCGGCTGTTTGGCGTTTCAACTGGTGCCGCTCAGAGTACTCGATACCGTAAGGAGTTGACAAACAGACAAAAGTACTGACAGACAGACCGAAGTTTTTGCGTCGAAGGTCCCCAAGAAATCGTCTTTGGAAAAAAGTAACATCGTGGCTTTGTGGTAGGACACATGCTTGTCACGCGTTGTCCCGGGTTCGATCCTCACTGGAACCGAAATTTCTATTCTTTATTTTATTTGCTTAGTTCGTGATTCTGCGCTCAAAGACAAATTTTCGCTCACAACCAATGGTGCCGACGCTGACAGTGGAATCACTGCGACACGAGCTCTCTAACGCTAACGCGTTAAGATGCCATTTACCAGTGGAACATACCCGCCTACCAGTGGTGCAAGCGTTCCCGCGGGAACGTGCCACTGTCTGGCGAAAAGTGTTTGACGACATACGCGAAGGAATTGTGAAATGATTAATGTCATGACCAGCGATTCGTATTCGCCATACCATTTTACCAACACCTACTATTTTCAGTTGACCACAAGATAAGGGGGCGGTCATTAGAGCCACCAGACATAGGGAGATAGATAACTACGTAGCTGGACGCCAAAAGTAATTGCAGTGCGCGAATAATTGAAAACCATCAATACATCTTTTAAATGCGGAGCATCTCTTAGCGAACATCGGCGACATTAAGTGTATCTATCTATCTATCTATCTATCTATCTATCTATCTATCTATCTATCTATCTATCTATCTATCTATCTATCTATCTATCTATCTATCTATCTATCTATCTGTCTGTCTATCTAGCCGCCTACGACTTTTAGCTATTGTGGCCGTTTCGATAACGCTATCGATACCAAAATATGTATGGCATAACATGAATATATGATGAACATAATTCACAAGTCATAACACGAAAATCATAAAATCATGTGTCATGAATCTCATGAGTTACGGTTATAGCTTCGCTGCTGTTGCGGTGATTTCGTTCACATGACATTTTGCAAAACAGGTATGGTAAGATATTACTGCATGGCGAAATTAAGGGGCTGACCCTAACGTGGAAATCATGACATGCATGCCATAATTGTCATGTTATGCGTAGTCATGACTACTCATCACGTTCTTGGTGTGCTCGTGGTCATTTCGCTACTCCACATATATCAAATTCGGTATCTGATGATTCATTGATATGTGGGGTTTAACGTCCCGAAACTACCATACGATTATGAGAGACGCTGTAGTGGAGGGCTCCGGAAATTTCGACCACCAGGGGTTCTTTAACGTGCACCCACATCTGAACACACGGGCCTACATACAACATTTTCGCCACCATCGGAAATGCAGCGACCGCTGCCGGCATTCGATCCCGCGACTTGCGGGTCAGCAAAACTTCGGTATCAGATCACGTGAATAGAGGATGAAGGTAAATGACACTTCTAAACATGATAATCAGGACATGAAAGGGATGTACAGCATAATTTACGCCCACCTAATAACTCATTTTAAAGTGTTCATTTTAAAGTGACACATCAACCTTCCTCATTCGTTCTTCGCATATCATTGATTTCTACAGTAAGTGAGATATGCCATTTTTTTAATCTCAAAATCTGGCCTTTTGGCACTTTAAATGACTGTATACAGGAGGAACACAGTTTATCCCTCTGTCATAGGAACCAGGATAACACAAAAGTGGCAAGTGTACTCACAAAGCTAGTTGAACGTTTGTAGTGCACTTATTCGCCTCAAGGGCGAAGCAACTTATGCGGAAGAGAGAATTGTATTTGTCACACAAAAAACGCAGAGCCGCCCGAACATTCCTGTGCACTGCTGAAGCAACAAGACACATCAAAATAGCATACACAAGAGAAGCACGAATCAGCGACTGTCGCACCTCGACACCTAAAGTGGCTGTTCGAACACAGAGAAAGAATCACGAAACCAATACACAAGTATGCACTGGACGAGAGTGAACTAACAACTCTCACAATTGTTATTTGTGTAACAGTTCTCACAGCGACCTATACTTTCGCAAACGGGGCCGTTGCTGTGAGCAAACTATCAGTTCTTCTGTAACTTCAACACAAGCTTGTGCTGAAGCGACAATACGTACAAACCATCCCAATCACGACACGAATGGGAGCGCACCTTCCACGCACGGGGTCACGGCCTCCAGTGGGCGCCCTTCGCGCCACCTCAGTGATGATAACGAGAAGACGCTGAAGCGCCCCCGATCTCTTTGCACCGCCACCGATAAATTGTATATTGCCAGTAAAAGTGAGTCAAATGCATGGCCAGTGGCACAGGTCACGAAAAAAAAACAAGTGCGCACGCTGTCTCATTAGAGGGCGTTTTTAGCCGACACGTTTTTCCAAGAGCCGTGCTGTTATACGACCAATGAACTTCACCACAGACGTTCGAGACAACGTGACGCTACAAATAGCTCTCCGATAGTGTGCTGATGAACGTGTGCTTTGTGGCCGAGTCGTTTAGCGTGGGTAACTGCTGAACAAAGGGTTGTAAATTAAACTCCATGCGAGAGAAATTTATCTTTATAGTTTTTTTTTCTTTGCATCTCATAGCGGTAGTTTGAAAAGTAATACTGAGGCAAAGAATACGAAAGTGGAGCCGTGCTGAACGCCGGCATTAAACTCTTTCGCGTTAAAATACACATGCAACGTTCCTTTAGGTATAATACTTAAAACCGCATTTACAACGCGCAATATTGCTTGCGCAGCAATCAAAACCACACACTAAAAATCGCCCTAAATTCCAAGTGCTTCGATACACTGTCCGTGCAAAATCTGCTACGGTGTGAAACGTTTTATTATTGTGCAAAACATAAATTGAGTAAACAGAGGTGTTTCAAGCGGCCCGTACGGCACGATCACAGGGCACACCATAATCGAGGAGTCTGGATTAACTTCGACGACGACCAGCGGTTATTTGTAATGCACAAAAGGGTAAACTGCGTGAGCGTTTCTTGCGGGTCAGACTCGTCCAAATGCTGCCGCAAGGTTGGGAAAGGAAACTGGCCTCGTTGTTTTTAGATACGTAACATAACGATAAAAGCTGGCAACGCCGCTGCTGCAGAAAAATGAAACTTTGCAGAACGTGTCTCTATAGCGAATGCGTCGTAGATGCGGTATTTTACACCGTAGATGCCGCGTGCTCTGCCGAAAGAATGAAGGTCCATCTCAAGTGCACGACACAGTTACAGCGTATTAAAAAAATCAATTTTTATCTAGATCATTCCTGAACATTTTTATTAGAAAAGTTTTAGTTTTCAGGCATGCGTATTCTGCGCAACGGTTATCGAAGACTCTCATCACTTTCAACCGAGTGCAAGTGCATACGTGCGTATCAATTCGAAAAACAGAGCGTGTCCTGTGCGTTTCGTCAGATGCCTTCATAACTTCCAAACGTAATTACTTGCAGCGTCACAAAAACGCGGCGCACACACGTACGCTTTATCGGCTCTCAATGTCGATATTTTTATTCTAACTACAACCTTCGCTATCGCAGCTTTGTTGTGCTAAGCCCCGCCTCCAGAAAGGTCTTTTGAAAGGGGCCAACCATCCCTTACATTCCGCGGTAGACAACTTTCAGTCGATCGCTTTCAGCGAGATCATTTCCTTTCGAGGAAAACAACTGTGCTTCATTACGATGTTTAAGTTCGCCCTACAACTGCTGCTCTGCACGGCAGTCATTAACACACAATCTCCGGACTTCCTCACTGACTGCGTGTCGAGTTCGGAACACGTAACTGCGGCGCACACATGCATCCTGGTACCGCAGGCTGATATACGCACGTACGGTAGGTCCTACAAATTGATAGCCGAGACCGTGCTGCAGGAACCCTCCAATCAGCAGAACCCGAAATTCCTCAACACGGTCTACAACGTCAAACGGGCCGCAGTCAAGGTGAGCGTACTGTTTTTCATTTTATATCTTTTGATACCGAAAGCTAGGGTGTAAGCTGGCCCCGCCGTGTTGGTCTAGTGGATAAGGTACTCGGCTGCTGACCCGCAGGTCACGGGTTCGCATCTCGGCTGCGGCGGCTGCATTTCCGATGGAGGCGGAAAGGTTGTAGGCCCGTGTGCTCCGATTTGGGTGCACGTTAAAGAACTCTAGGTGGTCGAAACTTCTGGAGCCCTCTACTACGGCGTCTCTCATAATTATATGGTGGTTTTGGCACGTTCAACACTACATATCAATCAATCAAATAGGGTGTAAGCTGGCTTATGAATAGTTTCTGGCTACGCAACGTATACAATGTCGTAATTACATAACGGAGGCGTTGTGCGGTTGTGCTGGACGTCGTGCGTTACTCTCAGCTCAGCCAGTAACATTCACAGTTTGCAAAACAAGCAAGTTTTTAGTTGTGGGAACGTGGTTTGGCAAAGTAAATTTGAGCAAACCAACTTCTTTCAAAGAACGTGGAGAGAGCGAGTTTATTAGCCTAATGTTCAACCCACTACTCAACAATGAAGTTTTAGCAGATTATGTAAATGAATAATGCCCTTACATTATCTAGGTTATTGATTAAAGTGTGGATATGGTAAAGGACGCCCTAGGGGAGGACTCCAGGCACTTTGACTGCATCCTGTTTCTTAACGAGCATTTTCACTTAAGTACGCGGCTCTTTAGATGCGCGCAAGTAGGCCATTGTGGTCGCTAAGGCCGACATTTGATCCGCGGACCGAAGGCTCAGTAGTCGAGCACCGTATCCGTGCACCCTGCCGCCTTAGCGGGTTGCTTTGCTAGCTTCGTTAAAGAAAAGCTAGTAGTAGACCGACCAATCTTTTCCCTCATCGACACCTTTACTCTGCCAACTGCAATCACAGCTTTTAATTTCTTTACATTCCTTTACTATTTCCTCTCCTAAATATAATACACATATGCATAAGTGGTACTTCTAGTACGTCAGTTTCTGCGTGTCTGTCTGCGCTAAAATTATTCAGTCTAAGCAATGTTTTACCCGTCGCACTCATCTCAACTATTCTTTGCTATAATTCAAGGTTACAGCTTCGACAACTAATAATATACCTCCTATTACAATTCTTTAGTTTTTTCTGTTATCAAGCTATCGTCTCCTGTTTTTGGTGTTTTTGGTGCATGCTTCTGCATAGCGGCTCATTGAAACGGGATTTTTTTTTCTTAACTCCCGCCCAGTTACCCCCTTTCTGCTTTACGTGCCACGACCAGGTCGATCACTGTCCCGATTTCGGGTATGACGTCTCGTCACTTTTTCTATATTTTAATTGGAACCTCAGTCGCACGAAGTATAGGCTCGCCTAATGTGCTTTCTGCAGTTCCGTATCATAAGAAGGCCTTCCCTGATTCACATTCTAATACTAAGCCGAGACTGGACTTCTTGTTGCGACTTGTTGTTGCGAGTAGGGTGACATCAATGGGATACATACTAGTGCAAACTTTGAAAAAGTCACACTCGCGAAAACAAGTGCGGGGCAGAAGAAAAGCCGTACTTTGTGTTTCCCCTTCCTTCAACTTTTTTCGCATCTATTTTACATTTATGCACTGTTATATATATTAGAGGAGAATATACAATGTTCTGTTGCGTAGACATATTTGAAGCATTCGTATGTAAGCAACACATCTTGACATTATTTTGTCTGAGAATGTCACTTGTGGTGTCAGCTGCAAAGTGAGTTTTTTCTCGCTTTGCCTTTATTTTTTTATTTTTTTATTTTATTTTTGCTAGCATACGATTTTAATCATTACTATTTTCCTACTAATGTCACGCTCTTTTTTTTCCCCACGAAGGATCGAGATTATGTGAAGGAAGGACCCAACCTTCTCTTGGAGTTTACTACTAGCCAGAGTGCCTGCCTTCATTCATGTCACCACACCGTTTACATGTGCCCGCCCATTGACGACAAGGTGAGAACCTCTGGAAACACTAGGCAAGAAGTCGCTATATTCGGGCACCCCACTTCGTCGAAGTTTTCTGATGTAATTCACTTTATCCACGATAGAATTTCGATATATGAAAATTCCTACGCAGAAAACAATGCAATTCAGTGGACTTAGTGTCACATGGTAGTAACTGAATTTCAGTTGGCTATGTCGTCATTGTGAAAAAGCTGAACAGGCAGCCGACTTTTAAAGTCCAGTGGCATTGAGAGCACTTTTGGTTAGTCATGAATGCAGAAGCATTCTTCCTGACAATGCCGCATGCAGCCGATTCTCTACGTGGACCGACACCCAAGAGCAGCAGTGGCAAGTCAGAGTGGCTGAGCGGCTTTGGGCACGCAGTAAACCAGCGGAGACGCCCAATTTTGAAGCCGCAAGTTGCCTCAAATCAAAATGCACAGTCCTGTTGTCTAGGCAGTGGTCCTTTAGTTTCTTCGTGAAAGCGTCCGGTTGCCCGGGGAAAAAGAGGGGATGGGTATTGATAATCTTGACGACTGCGCCAAAAGAACATCAGACACGTCCCGAGTCACTTATGCATGCACCTATGACCACAGTAAGGCCAAAGCAATCTTCTTCATTTTCAGCGCAACGCTCCTGTCGCGACACACTTAGACCGGTTGATGCACCGGATGAGGTTTCGCATCACGTCCAGGATCTGAGGCACCAGATTTCGCTTTCCAGTGCCTTCGAGATGCACCAACGTTTGACCACGCGGTCAAGGCATGTGATTTCATCATTGGATGTCAGTTTTGATAACTGCACAATGGCATGTGCAATTTGAAAGGGACTGGCGACGTATTACGGTCCCGTGATAACGCGGCACGCCGGTCGAAGTTCTCGTTTGTTAAGGCATCTCGGACTTTCTGTTTAAAGGAAACTAGAAACAGAGGTGGGATGTTATTCTGATGGGAACCACGCCTTGCACTGTTTTGAAGATCACGTCAAATTAGGCCAGCTATCAATGCGTTTAGATTTGGGTCGTAGGTTGGAACTAATCCGCCATATATCACACGCAGTGACATCCCCTTGTAGTCATTAATGTCTACGTTTGGATAAGTTTGCGTGATGTTGTGAAGTGGTATTATGGTGGTGCTATAGTGTCACACCTAGGTAGTGCGCCCAGCGATCATGGTGCGCGCAGCGTGTACACTTCATTATAGGTGTTCACGTATATTTTTATATTTGAGAAGACAGGCTATGCGGCATGATTGCCGAAAAAATGGCGACTGGGTCAACATGGTTACTTTTAACAGCCACAAAGTTCCTCAAGAGAAATCATCACCTACAGCCTGTCGTGTTCACATTTCTGTTTGCATAGCGGTTGTAACCCCGGTAAACCGGTGTTACAACCTGGTTAACCATATTTTGTCTCACACATGCACGTATTTTTAAGCAATATGCACACCTGTTCGCTCGCCTGTACCTTCAGTGGCGGGACAAACTAAATTGGATTCATGACTTCCAACCAGTAGTACAATGTTGCACAGCCCTGAAGTGCCCGACTAGCCACTTAAGCTGGGCTTTTCTGCTTAAATACGCAAATACCAATGCCCTAACGATACTTTACATAGTCATGCCACCTTCTACGTCCTTGTAGTATGCTTCAATCCTGAATAAAAGCTTAGCTTATAGCTAAAATACTCTTGTTGCAAGTCGTACGATGCTCAAAACAAGTTTCTATTGGTCCGTTTTTAGGGTACATGAAGCGTTACTAAATGCTCACGCCATTTACTATGCCTATGTGGGTCACTTCCTTTTCCTACTTCGTTTACCTAGTATATCTACCTTGAATACTTTCTAGTGAATACTATTGCACAAAGTATATCCTAACTACCTTGTTGGGCAATAAAAGCGTGTACAGGCTACCGTTCGTGAAGCACAATTGTATTCAATTTAGGCACTTTTTGACTCTGCTGCTCTCATTTTGGGTACATTGGAAATGCCATAGAAGGTGCTTCTCACCCGTTTTTTTACTTATCATTCTTGCCAGTGTACACCAACTTGTCTTTCCTTGTTCCAGGTGAACGGGCTGTGCCAGGCAGTGTTCCACTACCGTAATGGCGTCTTCGACATCGAACAATCTTGGTGCAAGCGCACGGATTAAGTACGTACGACTTTCATGGGAGCAGCTTGCACATTGCTGAGTGTGTGCTTCATTTTACATTGCTCTTGTTGGTATCTGTCTGGCTGACCACACTTGGAGAAAAGCGCCAAAAAAGCTTAATTTGGTCTTACTCTCTAAACAAACAAAGAACGCCTATAAGGGGTGTCATTTTGTTCCGCAACAATCATCCGGCTTGCTTGCGCTTTCTTTCTTGCAAACAATGCACTGTGCACTTTCCTTGTGTCACACAGATGCCATATTTGACTGGTCGTTTTGGAGCGCTCTTCTGGGAAAGTGATAGAGAGATTGCGTCTTTTCCTTTCGTTAGCTTCTCCCTGAGAAGAGTGCTCTATAGCACTTCAAACGACCAGTCAAAAATTAATTTATAACGTGCATGTTGTTCAATGTTGCAAGGACCCAAATCGTGCAAAAAAGATGATGAATATTTTTTGTGTGACAAAGACTCCTTTTCTACTTTACGTAAGATATGGTTTGTTGTGGGTATACGTTGAATATAACCAGGTGATAATAGAATCCCAACGTAGTTCATCTCATTATTTTATCCCCATTTGTTAATTTAAACCGGACAATTATCTTACTTTAGTCCCCACGTCTAGTGTTTCTCCGCATGCATTTTTTCTGTAAGCTTCGCTCTTGTACTTCGCATTAGCCATTTTCCAGACTAAATCCAATACAATGGATTGTTCCTCTCACTGCAATTTGTACATTTACCTTCTCGGAACACAAGGCTGTACATGTCGCACACCTGTTTTTTTTATTTCATTTATGGGGCAACTCTGCCTCAATTCATGGCACACGGCCGTTGAACCGCATAGCACGGGATCTTATCGCGGCCACTGCGGGCACACTACGATGAAAGGGCATTGTTGCAGCCCCTGTTATGTGTGGGTTTAAGATCCCTACATACCGTTTTCCGCACCTGGATTGTCTATACAAAACTAGATGGCTCCTTCGCATCGAATTGCCCCAGCCTTTTCCTCGGTGGCGCTGCCGTGATGTGGCATGTGGTGGACATTGCCCTGCAGCCTACGGTGAGCAATGGTGGTGGTAGTGGTCTTCGAAGCAAGAAAATGGCATCCTACCTCTGTCATCCATAGGGCGACAAGACATGGTGTCTAAGAGAAAAAAAAACGAAGAATGACCCTATATCTGCATGTTTCACTGCAAATGTCGTCGAAAGACTATAGTCTTGCGTGTAGAGAGTGTGAACAAAACGTTTATTCGATGTTCTACGCGAAAAAATTGGTGAAATATATTATAGAGGCGCTGCGTTAGCGAGTATCAATCCGTGCAGCGAAGGCGAACGAGCGCATCGAAGCCCGTTAGACATGAGCGCTATCTGGCAGTTATCTGCGAAAATGGAGTAAGCGTGTGCGCAAGTCTTGGAGGAGATAAGTTGTAGTAGAACATGTAGCGACGGGCAGGCGCCACCACCTCAATTTTCTACCACCAGCACCACCTTGTCTTAGCAAAGCGTTGAAAACACTTGCCTTTTTAAGCATCGCGTTACATTATCACCCTCAGCGTGACAAACGCTACGTACCTAAAATTACTTACGCATGCCTTCTGTAGTACAAACACACATACAAAATATTGACGTCTTGTTATGGTGCCATAGATATGCAAAATATTTGCTTTTTCATTGACAATCGCAGAAAGTATGAACGCTGAAACTTGAGCAATAATAGTGGCCGCTGCGCATGAGTTTAGCCGATTGAAATATCGTTTGGAGTATCGTTATGGCGGAGAAAGAGATAAATGTACAGGCACAGACCAAAATTAGTCCGCGCTGTACCCGGTTTGTTGGCATTCATTCCGGGAGCGGCGATGGCGCATCGGCCAACCCTCAGTGATGGTGAAGAACTGAAAAAAGAAAAAGTCCAATAGATCACGTGTTCAAATGTGGCAGTGCCCATTCGCCACTGTGGAAAACTGTCTATAGGTGGTCAAAATTTCCGGAGCTCGCCTCTGCGTTGCATCTTACCACGTCACCTTATGTGAAAGTAAAGCAGCAATGTTTATTGTTGTCAATTCACGGTAACTGCTTTTTGTTTCACGATGTCTTTATGAAATCTGTCATTTCAGGCTACTCAGGCATGCACAGCCCGAATCCCTAACCGTGACTCCTGAAGCGTGCCAGCGTCAGGCGAGAGACACGTAGATATGAAAATGCAATAAAATGCGATAAAGCAAAAAAGCCCGTACCTATAGTATGGAATCATTTCATATATGTATGTACGTATGCATGTATCTGTATATGTCTATGTATGAATATATGTGTATACTTGAGTGTGGGCTGTACGTCAGTATCAGACAATTCTGGACTAGACAGCAGCATGTTCTTGGAACCGAGGTGTGAATTCGTGACGGGTTGCAACCGCCTGCACCTCGTTGTATCTGAAAGCCTTCACATCGAATTAATTTGTTCCTTGCTTTGAAAAGGCAGTCAGATTGACTTCAGCGTCAGAATGACCAACCCGTGGACTGGTTCACGGGTTCAGTACATCCAGATCGGACTTCAACAGCAGGAGACACCTGAATTCTCGTCAGAGCTACAGCCTTCTGGCAAACAACTAAGGCAACGTAACTCCTCGATTACGAATAAGAAAACAGCCGCCCGTGTCAGAAGCCATGCGGCTGGCACACTGCGAGGCCCGACGGTCAGGGTCTTACGTTCTCGCTTACTCCGTCTCGCACAACAGGTGTAGTGCGGACTAGTAAGACTTCTTGTGTGTGATGAGCTTGAGCCAACTAATAGCCCCATGTGTTATACCATTCCGAATGCGATTAAAGTTTTGGCTTTGTATGCTGAGTAACACTTGCTCTCTTATGCCTTAGAAATAAAGGTGATTATACTGCTTTTGATATGTTTTCTTACGTTTTTGATGTATTGTATTTCATTTGTGGCTGGTCACGACACCTCAGCTACTGTTTCGTGCTCGGCTCGTGCGAGCAATCTAAACCAATAAAACCCACCAGCGAAGTTAGGAATTTTCCTGATTGAATTTCTAGCATAGAATTGGCCTCGATGAGAAACAGTGTAGTCAGGGCTGTCTAAACAACGCTTTACTGCCAGTCTTCACTTTGTGTTCGGCCAAACATTTGTAATGCGGGCTAAGTAGCGTTATTAACGCGGGCACCGTTCGGCGCTGAATACATCAAATGGCTGTTTTATTGCGCCATTTTATTGCCTCTGAGCTTTGGTGCTACATGCGTACTATACCATCAAGTACGGAAAACCCTTCGGTGAACTAACGATTGTCCATACTACGTTGTTCATGGTCAGAACAAGCAGTTGACGTAAAAGAAATCTACGGCATGCGTGCACACCCTAGAACTTACCCGACCATAATGTCTTTGACACATGCATTGTGCGCGGATGCGGCATATCTGTATGTTTACATCTACAATGTTAAAAAGCTTGTGGCATATTTTTTTTCATTCTCCCTGCTGTAGCCTCGCGGGTGACAACGGAACACTGCACCTTTGAGGCCGTTCTAGACGACACATTTTGGTCACAAGCTCGTGGCCTAACTAGCAAGACATCAAGCACAGGCCGTCGCAGGCAGTTTCGTCGTCTGCAGTGACACATGACGGCATAAAGTAGTTCGCGAGAAGGGGAGGGACGCAGTAGCAGAGGGCTCCGAAAATTTCGAAAATACGGTGTTTTGACATGAACTGTTATTACTGAGAACACGGGGCTCTGTCATTTTAAATTTGTCGAATTGGGCCCCGTGGCTGGCATCAAGCTTGCCTCCGTCGGTTGAGCAACTGAGCACCACAACCCCTCCGCAGAGGCTGAAAGAGCTATAATAAAGGAGTGTGCCGGCGGCAGTCGTTCAAGGTGGAAGTATCCACAGGTCTCTGCAGAAAGCCATGGGTCTGAGGTGATAAGTTCACCCTTTTAGCTAGATGTCGACAGTCTTTGAGGCTTGAGTTGACAGATTTGGGAGTTTCCGAGAGGACACTTTCTTTTCTTTTGTGAGGTTGCATTGCGTGGGTTGGTACGTCCTTCAAAACCCAGTTTGTCATGGCCGCAAAATGAACGCCTGTATATTTTCTCGGTATGTGTACGATCACGAGAATCACTGGCGTAGTCAAATGGGCTTCAAGAAAACTATTTTCCTCCCCTCCTCCCTTCCTCAAAAAATATTCAATTTCGCACGTGTATACGCGCACGTGGGCACACGCATGCATATACTTACAGCGCACGGATGAACATGCTTTTAAAGTACGACTGAACGCTCCCCTCCACTTCCCCAAAAATGCAACTATGCAACTGCTGTGGGGCCGAGAACCTGATGCGATAGCCTCGAGAGCGTGCTAAGCAAAAAGACAAAAAATTGGCAGATCGCACGAAGAGTGAGATTCGATGATATGCGAAGAACGAATAAGAAAGTTTGATATATCACTAAAATCAGCACAACGTTACGAGGAGGAGATAAATGATGCCGTACGTGACTGCCGCGTCACGATTATCATGTTCAGATGTGTCGTTTACCTTCATCACCTATTCACGTCACGTGATATCGATTTTGGTATATGTGGAGCTAGTGAAACGGCCGCAAGCATGTTATGAGCGTGGTATTTTGTCATGTTCTTACATGACACGCGTGTCAGGATTATCGTGTTTGCACCAGTCATATACTGTCGTCATCCATTGACTTCACTTAACACAAAATTTGTTATGTGGAGCTAGCAAAACTGCCGAGAGCGCATCTTGAAGGGCCCAATATACAAAGTAGCGGTGATGCGTGCGCACGCTGAGCACAGCGACGCTACGTTAGCAAAACGCGAGCACTCGATTATATTGTCTGACGCCAGGCGCATTCGGCGCGAACATCGTCGGTCGGCGCGGCCTGACGACAACCCGTGCGAAATGGGACATGCTGCATTTCGCGGTGATGCGTTACCCAGAAAACAATGCATCTCCCTCTTTTTGTGATGGATGGACGCCGGACGCGCTAAAACGCACATGCGTCAAAGCAACGCAGCGCACACCTGCGAGTATATGGCAGGACCGGCGCCTTGCGTGGCAACGACGGCGTGACGCAACAAAATGAACGCCGGCGAGCAAGCGCACCGCGTCGCGTCGAAATGTGCTGACACCTTGCTGTGGAATGTAGACATGTCCTCACACGACACTCGTTTTATGATTGTCAATTTTAAATCAGTCACATACCTTTGTCATGCATTGACGTCACGTAATACCAAATTTGACCTATATGAAGCTAGCGAAACGGCTGCTAGCGCATCATGAGTTTGGCATGTAGATATGTTGTTACATGACGCGCATGTGGTGATTATCGTGTTTGGATGTGTGATTTACTTGATGTCATCCGTTCGCATCGCCGATTACTGAGTTTCGTACATGTGAAGGTAGCGAAACGGTCGTGAGCGCATCATGAGCGTAGCATGTAGTCATGTTAATATTTGATACGCATCTCATGCTAATCATGTTTGCACCAATATACATACCTTCGTCATCCATTCATGTCCCGTAATACCAGAATTGGTATATGTGACGCAAGAGAAACGGCCGCGAACGCAACATGAGCGTGGCATGTAGTCATGTCATTACATGAAATGCATGTCACGATTTTATTATTAGGGTCTGTCGCTCGTGTTTGCCATGCACTCATGTCATACCATACCAGTTTTGCAACATGTCATGTGAAGGAAACCATCGCAAGAGCTGCAGGACCATGAAATGTAAATCATGACATTCATGACATACATGTCATGCGTTTCATCGTATGACTAGTCAATTATGTTTTTCATACAGTCAATTTATGCCATACCAAGTTTGGTATTGATACAATATCGAAACAAACAGGAGAGCTAAAAGTCGTAGGCGGCTAGACAGACAGATAGATAGATAGATAGATAGATAGATAGGTAGATAGATAGATAGATAGATAGATAGATAGATAGATAGATAGATAGATAGATAGATAGATAGATAGATAGATAGATACGCTCAATGTCGCTGAAGTTCTCTAATAAATGCTTCGCATTTAAAAACAGAAACAAATGCCTCCCCCCTACCTGAAAGTAATTGTGTGGAAATGCGAATGCATTACGTAGCGTTCATAACGGCGTTTCGCAAGTGAGAACCCAGCGTTAGAAGAATGTTTTCTTTTTTTTTCTTGCACCATGCAGCCAATAGTGCCGTTCGCCACACATGTCGTTTTCTGTCGCGACAAACGTGGTATTCGTTTCCGGCTCTACTTGCTAGTGTGCACGGTTAAAAATACTATGAAGTGAATAAAACAAACAGCGCGCTAGGCTCGGCGGTGGCGTTTCGCGGTGGCGTCTCGAGCACACAGTTCTCTAGCACACATTCCGGATGTTCTTGGGAGGCACCCAGCCTGCGAACGGTCGAGAGTGAGGCGCGAGCGGACGAGAAAGTGGGGAAAGGGAAGAGAGAGAGCGAACAGCGAGAGAAAGAGTGCTGCACGTGCCCTCTCGCAAGCTCTCTCGCACCACATTGTCCACTTGCTAGGAGTGAGGATAAGCGCGCGCACCCTCAGCCGATGCTAGGGGTGAGGGAGTGAGAGCGGAGAGATTCCGTCTGCCCGGGTGAAAGGAGGGGGCTGGGTATTGATAATCTTGAAGGCTGCGCCAAAAGAACATCGGACACTTCCCGAGTCACTTATGCATGCACCTAGGACCACAGGAAGGCCAAAGCAATCTTCTTCATTTTCAGCTCAATGCTCCTGTCGCGACACACTTAGACCGGTTGCTGCACCGGATGAGGTTTCGCATCACGTCCAGGATCTGAGCCACCAGATTTCGCTTTCCAGTGCCTTTGAAATGCGCCCACGTTTGATCACGTGGTAAAGGCGTGTGATGTCATTGTTAGATGTCAATTTTGATAACTGCACAATGGCATGTGAAATTCGAAAGGAACTGGCGACGTCTCATGGTCCCGTCATCACGTGGCACACCGGTCGAATTTCTCGTCTGTTGAGGACTTTCTGCACAGAAAACTAGAAACAGTGGTTGGATGTTTTTCTGATGGGACCACGTCTTGCACTGTTTTGAAGATTGCATCAAAATAGGCCAGCTATCAATGCTTTTATAGTTGGGTCGTAGGTTGGAACTTATCTGCCATCTATCACAACCATTGAGATCCCCTTGTAGTCATGGCGCTGTCTGCGTTTGGGTGATAAGTTTGCGTGATGTTGTGTAGTGGATTATTGGGTGGATTCGATTATTGCGTGATGTTGTGTAGTGGATTACAACAAAATACTTAACGCCACGCCGCGGAAAAACCAAAGAAGTGTGAACGATTACACATACGAAGTGCCACAACAGCGTGTCAATGTGTATGCGAATTCATTTTTTCCAAAAACAATTCGTCAGTTGTATGCTTTGCCATTACCACTGGTTCATTGTGGTTCACTGGAAAAATTTGAGGAAGGGCTCAAAGATATTTTTCTGTAAACATGGTCTACTATGTTAATTTATTGCAATTTATTTGTATGCTTACTACGACTGCACTGTTTTTTCTTCAGCCTCAATGCCGGTGTTTCCGATGTATGTAATGTATCATTTCCAAGTTCGAGTGTTGCTGTTTAAATTGCTGTATGATTTGAATGTATTCATGTTTGTCATTCTTAGTATGTCCCACCCCTGTAACAGCGGAAAGGCTAACAGTATTTGGAAAATAAATAAAAATAAATAACACCTGCTGGCGCGGGGACACCACTACGGACAATGCCGGATGCCTGACATAGCCAGACTCAGGAATGCATTTCATTTAAAGAAAAAAAAACGGCTCACGCCTTGTTTCAGGTGGGCCTTGAATAATTACAAATGACTCGCACGAGACCCGACTACTCGCATCACATGCCA